AATTTGAGCTCTCTGAGCCCTCTCGCTCCGTCTCGAAGCCACATACTGGCGAATACGGATTTTGCAAGCACTTTGAGGCCCCGAAGATCTTTGAGCTCTGAGCTTCAAGAGCGAAGAATCGAGCAGGCCCAAAAGTCGGAATTCTAGGGGGGTATGGCCTCTGAGCTCTCAAAAGCAACAGGAATGCATCTGCCATACCCCTACCATAGACACCTCCCTTGTTCTGGAGTTTGTGTGGATGCGCTTCGACAACTCTGGTGCGGAACTTGCATCAGCAAAAGGAATGTCATCGGTCAAGCAACCCAAGGATGTGGCCAGCCTTTTTTGCGTTGCCTTGATTCCCGTGCCGTTGTCTCCAAATGTTGGAGTCAATCTACCCATGCAGTTCAGAACCATTGAACGCTGCAAAGCCGACCTGCCAACCTGAGGCGATGTGGGCTCCTGAGGCCGAGGCGGCGATAGGCCCGTGTCCTGGAGTGGGCGGGTGTGGCTGTTTGAGAGTGCCAGAGCCAAACACTACAGGGTAGTGTAGTGCTAGAGCAGTGGTACACCTAGTCAATGTCACGTTTGTTGTCGTGTATGTTTGCTGCGTGTTTGGCAAAATTTTCAAATTGCGACTCATATGCATCTCTGGGAATCTGCAAGGATTTCTGCCCCATCAACGATCAGATGGCAGGAGCTGGTCTCTGGAAGGCTCTTGCTGCTTCGCGCAGAGCATCTTGACCTTTTTTTCTCCAAGGTCTTAGCGAACTACTTAACAAAGAGTATCACTGTTAACAACTAATCTTCTTTCGGGAGCCTCAGTTGTTGCAGGACCCGAAAAATTAGATCGTGGAACTTCTAATTTTCTGGGTTGAAAAACGGATTTCAGCGACGTGTTGCATCTGTACGCTGCAGGCTAATCGGAAGTAGACTTAAGCTGAAGTCACAAAAACCCTCTCTTTACAGATACAACGGAGAAAGCAGCAGGCGTGTGATGTTGCGTGCAGTCCATCTGGCCAGGACCGAAGGCAGTAGTCAGGCATGGCCAAAAGTCACGAGCGCGACACCGGCTGATTCCGCTTTTCGTCTGGGCTGGTCGTGTCCAGCGTTTGGGATATGTCGGCGGTGTAACGTAGGCTCAGAGGATCCGGATGCCGGTTCCGAAAACGGGAGATCCTCTCCGAAACAGGAAGTCCATGAGCTGATGCTCGGTTGAGGTCGTCGGCCCTTTCATTATGGGCGCCAGCCATGTGCGAGACTTGCAGATGGATGCTGGGCCGAGCACCACGGCCTAAAAATACCGACAAAGACCAGCTAGTAGTGAAGAGCTATTGACTCCTCCTTCTGTAGGCGTGTTGTCGCTTTGAGAGAACAGACAGAGAGGTTGAGTCTGGTGTGGCCATGATAGACTTTGGCCGTCATGGCTAGCCTGCCTCGTCGTATCTGCCTTTTGCATTAATTAGCGTCCGCAAAGTCGGGCCCAGCGAGCGTCTGTTCGCCGTTTCAGAGGCCAGGCCTTGGCCAGCCCAACTTCTTCGCCACAAGCCCACCCGCCCAGTTCGGCCCTGTCCAAGTACATCCACCACACCTTTCTCAGTGAGCGTTTCACCCTCGGATTTCAGCCTTGTTTCATTGCCCACATTCGCCCAACTTGGCCAGGTTGGTCGCCCTAGTTGCTCTTTCTCAGCAGCCTTGGCTGAGACATGCCTAGCGTCCTAGCGCCGATTGCTGCTGCCTCGGCCCCTAGGCGCCAACCTTTGCCTAGAGGCTAGCCGTTGCCCTGGTTCTTTGTAGAGCCCAGTTAGAGGCCGTGCCTATAGGTCTCACATTGAGTTCCTACCGAGTTCTCACAAAGTCTAATCGGGGGTTTTTTATGCCTTCAGCCTCGGTCCAGCCTATCTGGTCGAGTCTACTTCCGATTAGCCTGCAGCCTACAGATGCAATACATCGAAAAAGTGTGCCTGGGGTTGTAGTGCTAGAGCAGTGGTACACCTGGTGAACTAACAAGAGCTTAAGAAGTAAAAACCATTTTTCATCAAGCTTTCTGCAAGATTCTAGCCACTTCTATGTTTGTTGGCAATGGTTCCCACCGAACCAGATTCGAGGCCGTCAGACGTCGGTGCCGAAGCAAATTTGATTTTGTTGTTGCATTGCTGCGGTTCGTGGAGCGTCATTCAAGCAGAGGTTAACAAAAAAACGCATTTCTTCAAGACAAGACGTGCCAGACCGCGGATTGAAAAAAACATTTCCGTGAAAGTATCAATGGCAGTTTTTGTTTTATGCATACACATACCACATGTCGCCTTTCCGGCCGACATGCCCAGTTTGGGATTGTTGTTGTTGTTGTTGTAGAAAAAATTTGGTAAAAAAGACATAAATGAACACAACAGCATTGCCAACAATTTGCAATTTGGCCAAACTGGTATGGATGCCACATGTTTCACACACCATCGCGTAGACGAAAAATATCATGTTTGGCAGGTGCAAAAATCCGAAACTTTGTTTTTCACACGACATAAGATAGCAATCTAGCAGGTCACAGTTTAGGTGAAAGACCGACGTGATAAAACAATCACCAGCCAATAACGTCAGAGTCACTTCACACGAGATTCTAGATTGAATTGGTACCGACGCTTTTGAATGCATTGTGCAGGACATGGGGCCCTGACGAAATGCTTGCTGCAAACTCATTTTTCATCCCATTGGTTTGATGTTGCCCTGCAAACACCCGAATTCATTCCATGATTGCTGGTGTTGTCATGGGTTGGTTGATGATGCAGCGTTTTTTGGTCTTTCTTACATCTCGAAGACTGGAGTTAGCGCGACACTTTCGAAGGCAGTCGTTCCAAATGGGGTGACTCGGCAGGCATGGTAAGTCTGGTAAGTGTATTTACACTTTTTCAACCAACGGTTTCCACACATTTGTAGTTGCCAGTCGTGCATTGAGCCAGGTCCATTTTGTCGTTCTTTTTTGCGAAGCAGCTTCCAGCTCCAGAAGCACAGGCAGGGCAAGGTAGTATCATGCATGTCATCACAAACAGCACAATCTAGCAATTTTTTGTTCGCCAGTTGCTTGTGCAACTGCGAACAATTTCGGATGATCCACGCGTTAGGTCCGAAGCGGTCTGGGTAACACGGGGCCTGAGGCTTGGAATATGCAGGCGAATCTAAATCATTATTAATGACTTCAAAAACTGCAACTTGTTTGATGGTTTCGCAAGCAACCGAAACTCCATGGCCTTGCTTGCAATTGCCGCGTCGACCATGCAGGCGACCACAAGTTTGCTTGTTCACCTTCCATCCATTTCAGTGTTCACAGTCGCACATCTTTTCCCGCCGAGCACTCAATATAGCCAGGAAGCTTGCGCACAGGCAATGTCTGGCCGGCTGACATCCTGATGGCAAACACGAGGCACATTGAGGCGTTCGCTCGCGAAACTCCGATGCCGTTGTGTTTGTTGGCGGTGCTGCAGCTTGGGTCGTTCGCTGTTCGGCATTGCTCGCGTTACCTCGTAAAGCAAAGGCAGGCACACTGTCTCTTGCGGACGTATATGCACTGGGACGGCCGCCTCGACTGTCTGTCGCTCCCGCGTCACATGCATTATGTGACACTACTCTTTTTCGTGTCATCATGGATGTTGTCTACTGCATTGCCTGTTCGCTAGCATCAAATTTTTCCGCAATGTAGCTTTTCGGCCACGCAGCACGCGAACCTGCAAGATGACGATCTCACACCGCTCGCGCTTCGCACTGCGATGGCTAATATTGTTGGAAACAACCCAGACGTCCTGCAAAGCCTGTTCGCCAAAGACGCTGAAGGCGGCTTCGCCCAGCCCCTTGATGCAGAAACGAACCCGTAGCCAGCGTGGCCATTGGCCGCCCCAACATCGTCTCGCAAGCGAACGCGACGCCCGCCTCTTGTTCGACAGCGATTACCTGCTCACGCGCCTGCCAGCATGAACAAGTTTGCCTCAGCATTTAGCTGCTTGAGCTGGTAAAACGGCACAGCTCGCAGATACTGTCGCCTGATGCGGGCGGACTTTCAACCTGCAAACCAAGCACGTCTCGCTCGCAACGAGCAAATGGACGGTGACGACAGCTGCACGCACCCGCTCTCAAGACCCTCCAGTTTGCCTGAGCCTGCTCACCTGCTCATTGGGGCCACAATACTGGTGTACTTTCTTGCGCTCTGTGCTCGCGCCACTGTGCCGCGAACTCCGCAGTGGCAAAGGGACCCTGACGTCCACAACCCGCGTTTCCGAAGCTAAAATTTGCACACCTCAGCTACATTGATTCAATTCCTGGCCTGGCCTCCTCTTGAAACGGGGCTCCGGCCTCACCGCGGTCGGGCCCGCCACATCAACAGCACGCTGACATCCCGCACATGTCCGCAAATGCCGACCTCGCACAAGCTTGTACCATATTCTATAAGCTATACCTACTTCCGGGTCGAGGCCCGGCCGCAACGAGTGCCACATAGTGCCACATCGGTTTGATGCGCCGCCGATGCCACGGCAAACGGTGTGGCACCGTTGGAATCGATGGTTGGCTCCGCACCGCAGAACGTTTCCTGTGGTTAGCCGGTGCTTGGGACATGTCTCCTGCCGCTCAGGCCTGACCGCTTGTCCAGCTCCCCACATGGCCGCCGAGTAGGCACCGGCGCATGCCGACAGCAGTTAGCCGATCACGGCTGCCGACATGGCATGCGGCCGTTTACAAAGTCGTTCGAGAGCCTTGGACTTGAGCCAAAATGGCTTGAGCCAAAAACGATTTGAAGCTGTTTTGCCAGCGTACCTCGCTTGCTGCATAAAGGTCCACGGACGGAAGAATGTGCGAAAAAACCGCTGATGACCCGTAGCACTGGCACTGTAGCACCAGTACGCGCGCAAGCACCAACACCAGCACAAACGCAACACAAACACCAACACCAGCCCTTTTGTCTCCACACGGCTGCAGGGCTCAAGCTCAAACTAGCAACTTGTCCCGTTTGACGTTTTGTGGAATGGGGAAACCCGTGTATGGAATGACGCCCCGAAGTCGATCCACCAAGCAACGTCGCACAACCTCGCCGCTGCATGTAATGGATGATCACGCAGAGCCGGCGTCCCTGAGTCCCAGCGCTGGCTCTTTGGAGTTGGAGAACGTCAACACACAGTGCTCCGCGGAGACCATTGCCCAGATCGTGGTTTGCATCCACTTCAAAGCCAAATGAATGCTTTGCAAAGTTCCGTCACTGACCGATTGAATGTTGTCGAAGAACCCATATCACCTCGAACCGTACGTATCGAAAAACTCGAACAGGAAGCAAGACGGGGTCAAGAACACGAACATGGACACCATGGAGCATTTTTTTTAAAAACGGACTTTTCGAACTGCCTGAGTGCGAGCCGCGGTCGCAGCTGTCCGTGCTACCTGGACTGACTGCTACTGAGGCTGTCAGGGCCGCAGCGGCAGGCGGCTATGTCCGGCGGGGGCTTCGAGGTGGAGCAAGGCGTCCAGAGGTTTCGGACTGCAATGGATGCATCCACGGGCCGCCTAACGCTGTGCTTGCGACGGCTTGTTGCACAGCCACGGACAGCATGCTCCACCAACGCCTCGCCCAAGCGCCAGAAGCGGCTGCGCGGAGGGCAGGAGGAGCCCGGTGGCCCTCCAGCCTGACCAAATCTCGGCTGAAAGCTCACCGAGCCCCGCCCGCGCTCCGCGCCGTGCCGGTTGGGCGAGGCGCTGGTGGGGCATGTTGTCCGTTGCGGTGCAGCAGGCCGTCGCCAGCACGGCATTGGGAGGCCCTTGGTTGCATCCACTGCAGCCAGAAACTTGCGACGGCCCACCGCTGGACACCCTGCTCCACCACGAAGCCCCCACCGGCCAGAGCCGCCTGCCGCTGCGGCCCTGATGCGGGACTGGTGCGTAGCTCGTAGCCCGTCAGTAGTGTAGTCAGCTGCGACCGCGGCTGGAGCACCTTTCGTCGGGCAGTTCGAAAAAAAAAACCGTTTGCGTCGCGTCCTGCACGGCGGTTGCAAGGCGATTCTCTCCGCCGAGCTGTGCGGAATCGAATCGGGTAAGAGTGATGCCTGCACGTGCCGACCATGTCGAGGGCAGCGATGCTCCACTGGCATGGGGTGCAGCTCGCGCTTGACGCCACTCTGGTGAGTACGGGTACGCAGGCCGGCGAGCCGCAGCCGAGCACGGCTCGCCACAAGCGGCGCCAAACGCACGCAGCTTGCCAGTGTGCGGCAGGCGCGTCTCGTCGTTGTTGCAAGCAAGGGTCGAGGCATTCGGTTGGTGCGGAAGCCACCTCCTTCTTCCGCAACCTTGCAGGGCACCGAGCTGCCGCCTGTGCGGGATGGGTCCAGCGCTGCGTCTGCCACCGCTTGCACGCATCGGGTGCTTGGCCTATTTCCTCGTCGCCGCCGCCTGCCCAGACCATGATAGGCCATACCGTTTCCCAATCTTGGGCCACACACTGCCGGGTCCCGCACCGGTTGCACCGCCTCCGTGCCCGCGCGTAGAACACTCCCCGCCACCGCAGACTGACCTGACCGCGACTCGGACCCTCTTGGACCACACGTTAATCGTGTTGCGCTGTCCACCTCAGTTAGCAAAGTGCTTGGGTCGGTGTTGCTCCTCGTGGGCAGACTCGGTGTCTTGATTGGTTTGCTGCAGCACAGTTCGCCGGTTCGCCCGCTTTACTTCCCCGCACACAACCCGGCCTGTACAGGAACAGGTTTGGATTTGTTTTCACGGGAATGCATGGCGTGTACACGACGGTTTGCTTTCTTTTTCTGAGCTAATTGGCCATATCCCCGCCTGTTCGGCAGAGCAAGAGGGAAAAACTTCAGCTATACTTATGCGGATTTTTTCCTTGTCACACCATGTTGTTTCCATTACATTTTCGGCCAGGCACACAGGTGTGAACAGAATCGGCACATCAACATGAATCAAGGTTTGTTCCTGTACCTATGTCATGTTTATTCAAAACACAAGACACGCGACCTCCGTGCGTGGCAACTGCTTCCACGGACGGGGAACTTGCGCGAGGAATCAATACGAGCCGGCGGCGTAAGGCTTTGTCTGTCGGTCCAAACGACGTGGAAACCATGTGAGCAATCGTCCGCAGATCACAGGGGTTTCCGCATGTACGGGTCATCCAGTCTGCATGTCGTGCAAATGTAAATTTGGTCTGCGAAGCTTGGTTGGTGCTTATGGCAGGACGAGCGCGATTGCAGCCAGGCTTCGTCCTCACAGGCCGCAGCCAGCATTCCGTCATAAATCGGCGTGGTGTTTTGTGGGGAATTCGCGTTTTTGTACGGAATTCGATGTTGTATTCATCTTAGTGTTGCAGTCTTGTTCTTCTGCCGTTGACCATGAAAATATGACGTGCGTGCGTGAGTGTGTGTGTTTGTGTGTGCTTCCCTTGGTTTTGGGATAGGGGTTATGGGGGTTGACGACCCATCTTTCCGCAGGGGGACCGAGGGGGTGCAGGGGAGCTCCGTCCACCGAAGCTCTCCCCTGCACCTGGGCATACGTACCTGCTTTGCCTGTGCCGGGGCCTGGTCGTGGGCAGCTGGCGGGGCATATTCATCCCGTGTAACATCTCCTTGAGGGAAACCATCCGGGAGTGCAAACAATGCTTCTTCAGTGTCCTACAACGGCTGTCCGTCACGGCGCCGTGGTGGTCTCCATAGGACGCAGTCCTCGTTGAAGGGGATCCGTTGGCGCTCCTCGGGGACCATATCTCTCTCTCTCTCTCTCTTCCTCTTCTTCTTCCTCTTCCTCTTCCTCTTCCT